TGATTTTTCTTGCAGGACAGTCGTTACTGTAACCACCAAACTATTGAATTTCTCTGTTCTCAAAACTATGATTTCACAGGTGTCGTTCCCCTCCTTTTGGTTGATTTTAACTCAATCCAGGGCTAATTTGAAGATAGCATTACTACCAAAGTATCTCAAAATGCTGTGTGGCTGACAGCTGTCTACCTTTTCTCACTTCTGTACCTCCTGCATCAAAGCTTTGAATTTCTTACTGTGTCCAGTGTTCTTGGAGAGTTCCCAGACCCCATTCAAACGTGCAGGCGGGCTTCCCCCACGCACAACAACGAGCAATTCTGACACCAGCGGGATGTCCAAAAATTCAACTCAGTTCTGACACTATCACCCAGACAGAGCATCAGATTCCACAGGCTAAGGGTTCCTTCCTGCAAAACTGCCCTCCCCTCGCCCTGCCCCATTCAGACGCCAGTAGCAAGTCCCAGTGATTACCTGTGCTTCCAACTGACTGGCTACCGACTGGAGGCTCCTATGACTTCTTCCTTAGGTTCAATGAATTTGCTAAAGTGGCTCACAGAACTCAGGGAAACACGTCCCTATATTTACCAGTTTATTAAAGGATTTGATGAAAGAAGGGAATCACTAGTGGGATGAAGATACACAGCATGAAGTCCCAAACAAAGGAGCTTCTGTCCTCATGGGGCTTGGGGCTTGGGGCCTGGGGCAGTGGCACAGGAGAACATCTGGGCTCCCCAGGCTTAGAAGCTCTCTGGAAAGGGCCAATACGCTGGGCTCTTGGGTTTTTGTGGAAGCTTCATTACATAGTCATGATTAAGTCATTGGCCCATTGGCTGATTCAGCCTCCAGCCCTCTCTCCTCCCTGGAGGTGGGGGTGGTGGTGTGTGGAGCTGGAAGCTCCCACCCTCTCATCATATGGTCGGTCCTCTTGGCCACCAGCCCCCACCCTAGGGTGGGGCCCACAAGTCACCTTTATTATTAACAAGGCACCCATTTGACCTTGACAGCGCTGAAGTGTCTTTCAGAACCGTGGATGAACACCAAACATATCTGAGAGCTACACTGTGGTCATCTGAATGATCAAATAGATATTTCTTATAAATTATTATGTTGCAAGTGTCAATAGTACTTCAAACAGGATAGGCTTCCTTCCTTACTGCGTTTATTCACACCTGTACAAGGTGACTTTTCACGTCATGGCATGGATCCCGTTGTCGTGGCCCTGCCACGGGAGCTGCTGTCAATATGCCTGTACACAGTGAGCACAACACTAAAATATTTAAGTTGATTCTTGCTTTCCCATTTTAGAGGTTTACCTCCCATGAGCTCTCCAGTTAGCTGAGGGAAGACACAACATGTCAAGCAGGTTAGGATAGCCATTAACTTCCAAATTCAGTTTAACAGGGGCTTTGATTACATTGGGTAAAATACTACAGCAGGAGTGGTGACTTTGACGCCGATAATTCTCTATCCGGGACTGTAATACCATGTTGATGGCCTTTCAATGAGTTCCACAGTGACCCCAGAGTAGAGGGGTAATTTAATGAGATCATTAATATTTCCATAAAACCAGCAATCTGAACAAGTTCTTTTGGTAGGCGCTTTGGCAGAACTCGCGTAAGTGACGGTTCCACACGAAGCATTATCTTTTCTTGTACAACACTGAAAGCTTACATGCTGCTTGACAAATCTGAATTTTAAAAAGTGAGGATAATTGGCACTTGGTAACTTACACAGAAATATAAAGTGGTACAAGAAAATTGCCCATTTCTTTTAAATTTACATTTCATTATTTTTTTTCTTTTGAGAAGGGATAAGACATGTAATTTCCATCAGCTTCCACCAGTTATGTATGAAAGAGGCTACGAGTTCAGCTCTGTACAGGAAGCAGATGGGGAAGTGTAACTTGAATTTACAGATGAAGGAGTCTCTTGGTGCTTTGCATGCTCCAAGCTCCAAACAATTCCTTTATTTAGTCAACAAGCATTTATGCATATACCTTAGCAGAGCACCCGGCTTTGTGGATGTACCCAGGTAACATTTCCTCACTGACCTTCATTATAATTTCAGATATGTGTAATGATAATACATTACACATGCCCGGGCATCAACTCATAACACAAATTCTATGTAGGAATCTTGAATATATATATATTTTTTGCTAAGAATATTCTGTCATATATGTTTGCAGTCTGTATGTATGCCTTTCACTGAACATGAAAAACTGACCTCATGCACTCATACACATATCAACGTGTGTAGACTGACAAGACCACATAGTGAATTTTTTTTTCCTAGAATTTTCATTGACTTCTTTTCTGGTTTAGCAGATATTCTAGTCATCCCCTTACTTTAAGGTTTAAACAGTCCTCTCTGGGTTGGACTGCTGTATCAAAACATAAGTACGTGGCCTGTAAGGGTATTTGCTGAGCTGTGAAAAGAAGTTTTTGGTCCTGATTATCATTGAGTTAAGAACAAAGATATTTCACCAGACAGTTTATCTTGTAATAACATGTACTGTGTTAGCTGAGCCAGCAATGAGATTCATTACTCAGCATTTATTTGAGGTGGGGGATAAACCTCATGGAAGCAAGAATGGTTTAGCCTGTTCATTGTTGGGATTTAAGGCACCTAAGCATGTAGCAAATAAATAAAAAAATGATAAAAAAGTTAATGATGTTATTGAGTTACAGATGACGAAACAAAGACTCTAAGAATATAAGTACTTTCAGAAGGTCACTGGGGTAATAAGAAGTGGAATGAGACTTGAAGTCTGGTTTGATTCCAAGTGTGTGTGCCCTTCCCACGTCAAATGTGATGCATAGACTGGCATCTGAACAGACTCCCTGCCTCTGTTTCCTGGTTGCAAGTCATGTCCTTTCCAGGGGCAAGCACAGGAGGTGGGAGCAGGGGTCAGGAGTATTTTGGTGGAGCAGACATCCGGGAATGCCTTCAAAGCCCCATGTGACATAGCCTCGGAAGGATCTTGTGTTTACTTCTGTCCTTTCAGTCTTGATCCCTTGCCCTTGAGGGACTGAAATATATTCCAGGTATGCTGTCGATCAGACATAGATAACCTCCAGGCCTGTAAATAGAGGCGCCAAGCCAAAGTCTGTGTCTGTATTCCTTAGAACATGTGATTGTGTTCACCGCTGCGTGAAGTCCCCTCTCCTAACTCTCAATACCATTGAAAACATGCCCAGACTCTGTGTCTGTGGTGGGTGGAGAAAGATCCTCAATCATCAACCCAAATACAAGGTATTAACAAGAGAGATTTAATACCGACAGTGCCACGTGGGAGTTACAAGGTGTTAACGAGCAAGATAAACCAAGGAATTCGTTTTTCTTCCTCCTTGGCTGCCTGGGTTCACTGTGGATGCACAAGAATTGAAACCTGAAGTTGTGAAACTATGACCCAGGAAGGCTTCCTGTATTATGCACGGTGCCTTAAGAGGAGAGACTTTTAGTGAAATGCCAAGAACATTCAGGGTAATGTGTCCGCAGCAAGCGGATCCTGGATTTATTGCGGAGGGGACGGTGTGAGTCAACCAAAATGGAGAATGATGAGAAGTAACTAAATTATGTATGACGGTCTTCACAGAGCAGAGGAAGGAAGAAAAGCTTAATGACGCTGTGGTTGAAAGACCAGCAGCAGTTGGTGATGTATTGACTGGAGACTGGTAAGAAGAGAAATGGATGTCTGAAGACTCGAAGGCTATAAATGAGTGTCACAAACACCAAGCAGCGGGTTTGGGAGGAGGAGGGGAACCAGGGGCGCAGCACACAATAAATTTTAGTGGCAACAAGATGGCCAAGTAAAGTTGACTTGACATTAAAAATCATCATTTTAATCTATGCAGCTCTTTGAAGCCTGAGTCTTACCAGGGCCAAAAAAAAAAAAAAATCTATAGTTAACGATGAAGTATTTTCCCCATTGCTTTCCCGGCATCCACCAAAAACAGTACATAGTTTAATTATTGCATCTACAGGCTGGACCAGGGCGATGAAGAATGATGTGTCTGCTGTAGTGAGAAATTAGATAGAACCAACTTGTTTATTCTCCTCCTTCTTCCTCTGTGAGGCTAAATTAATTTAGTTAACAAGCTTTTGTTTGGATTAGCGGTCAGAACTCCTGATTATTACAGTAACTGTCATTTGTGGAGCGTTGACAGTATCCTCAAGCCCCACGTGTGAAACAGCAAGGGGTTCTTTTCTCATTCTCTGCCAGAACCAATGTGTCACAAGACTGGGGGCGCTACGCGTCGGAATAGAACATGGAAGTCCAAGAAAATCAGATTCAGTTCCCTGTGACTTCAGAAATGCCACTGATGGTCCTTCTTATTGACCTGGGTCGGGTTCTTCTGATCTTTTAAACAACTGCAACAATACGCCCAATTTTATACCTGGCCCACGCTACGGGGGACTTACTGAGAGGTGTGCGGCCGTGGCGGGGGCTGGGAAGGAGGAGCAGGCTGAACACGCATCTCAGGCCCTTCCGCACAAAATCTGAGTGCAAACAGTAAGCAAGCCAAGCGAGGCGCAAATGCAAATGTAGCTTCGAGGCATTTTGGGCCTCGAGGCACAGCGTCCCCGTCCCACCCAGTTCGCGGCTGCCTACCCAGCTGCAGCCGCCCGGTCCACCCGCAGGGGGGCCCAGCTGGCCCAGCAGGCCCAGCCGGAGACCAAGACCAGGTGCCCACGACCCACAGTGCAAACAACCCAGCCCCACAGCCTCAGACCCGAAACGAAGGGCACGGGCGGTCCCGACGGCAGAGCCCCAGGGGCGGCTCCGAGCGCGGGCGGAGCACCCTGAGCCCGGGCCCGGGGCCTCGGCGGCGGGTTGGCGCGCCCCGCCAGCCAGGCCCGGAGGTCGCCGGCCGCGGTCGCCTTCCGGCCCCGGGCCCCGCCCCGCCCCGTCCCCGCGGAGCACTTCCGTCCCCGGCGAGCGGTGGGAAGGCGGCGGGGCGAGCGCGGCCCGGAGCGCGGACGCGGGGGCCCGCAGGAGGGCGCGGGCGGCGGGCGGTAGGCGGGCGCGCCTCGGGGCCCTGGGGTTCCCCAGGGGGGCAGAGGGGTCCCCGAGGGAGGGCGTCCCGGGAGTCCGGAAACAGCCACCGGTCCTTGCGCCCGCGTGTGAGCCGGGGACGCACGGGTTCGTCCCGGGATCGGAGGGACGGGGCCTGGGGGCAGCGTGGCTTCTGGCCCGGCCGCCCTTCCTGCGCCTGCAGCGGGGTTTCGGGGCGCCGGGGAGCGGTACACCCGAGCCAAGGAGCGCGCCCTGTGGAGGGGACACCTTCCTTCCCCTCCCCACCTCCGCCCGTGCGGAGGGCGTGGGTGGCGATCCTTAGCCGCGCGGTGACCCGGTCCAATCCAGCGTCGCTTCGTGTTGAGGGCGCAGGCTTCTCAGAATCTGGGCAACTTGGTTTGATCAGCGGGTGATCGTGGCTCCCGGGCCCGACTGGCTCACTGCACCCCCGTCTTAGGCTCTGCTGCCTGCGCTTAACGACGACGAGAGCCTGCAGCCCAAGGGTGGGGACGGTCGCGCCCACCCCGAGCCCGGACGTCTAGGCTTTCTCGAGACTTTTCAGTAACTTCTCCCCAGCTGTCGTGTTGCCCTCCTTTGCCCTTGGTACTTCTCCCCCGAAACCGCCCCGCCCCACCCTTACCGGACGTTTTAGACGCCCTTCAGGGACTGTCCCTGTTGTGCTTCTAAAACCTATGATACCAGAACCTTGCGTTGGTAATAGCCCGGGCACTTTTCAGGACTCGGAGTTGATAACTTATGTCCCATCCCAGGAAACTAAGGGGAAAAGGAAGGGACAAATTATCTGGTAATATCAGAGTGCCTACAGCTCCAAATGGAATTTGACTGGCATGGATAATAGACCTGTGTGATTCGGGGCCAGCCACTTCTCTGAGTCTGTAAGGTGTGTTGCCCTCTGATTTAGCCAAGGAATGAGGCTTGAATGAGACGATGTGTATAACAGGGCCTGAAATGCATGAGATGATTCACCGTGAGTGTTCTTTCCCCTCCCTCTTGTGCCCGCTCCATTTTATAAGGGCTCAGAGGTGAAGGGCGAGGACAATTTATAGGGTAGGCATTTGTAGTAACTTGAAAAAGATCCCAAAGTACCTTGAGAAAGCAGTGAATAAATGTGACACTTGGGAATGTGAAGCTACCCGTGCCAAATACAAATTTATGAAATAGTGACTTAGCTTCTTAATTTTTTTCTTAAAACCGAAGAATGTCTGGGGTGTGTGTTCTGTGATTTTTTTATTGAGAAATGTAACTGCAATTGTCGGAGTTTGGAAATCTAAAGTTTAAATGTGGTTGGGTTGAATCGGAAAGCAACTTTACGAGAATGATTTTCTCAACTGCTATTTGTTGTGTTTTCCTTCCAGGGCATCATGAGTGAAGCCCCCTGCAGAAAACGTGATGACTATTTGGAGTGGCCCGAGTATTTCATGGCGGTGGCCTTCTTATCGGCACAGAGAAGCAAAGATCCAAATTCCCAGGTGAGTTTTATAGGGGAATGTTTGGACCCTCATAGATACAGAGATATACACAAATGAGCAAATTGGAAAAGGAGGCTCAGTAGGCACCTGCCAACTTAGAAAAGAAGAGTTAAGTCTGTCTTTTTTCCTACATTCCTGTGGACTTATGTTTTCCTGGGAGAGAGTAAACTGTCACATGCCATCGTTCCCTGCCTCCTGTATCCGCCTGGGACTGGGAGGCTCACTTTCTTTGGCTTGTGGGATCTGCCACAGACATGAGTCAGGAGACCTCAGTGCTTTGGGGCTCTGCAGGCCTTTTGGTGTCTACTGGCCTCTCCAGTGGCAGACTAACCCCTTGGTGTCACCAAGCCTTTGGGCATGTTTCCCTGCAGGTTGGAGCCTGCATCGTGAACGCAGAAAACAAGATTGTCGGCATCGGGTACAATGGGATGCCCAACGGGTGCAGCGATGACCTGTTGCCTTGGAGGAGGACAGCGGCCAATAAGCTGGACACCAAATACCCTTACGGTAGGGCATGCTCGTGTTCCATTCTGCTCAGTGGCACAGCCTGGGGGAGTGCTTAAACAAGAGAGTTGGTCCGAAAGTGTCTTCATGGTTTTCAGTCATCAACAGCTGGATGGAAGGAAGATCCTATTGAACGACCCCAGTTTCCAGTCCCTGTCCCTTCAGTTCCAGGGAGAGCCAGTGGGTGGAAGCGAGGTGCTGGTCACACAGCCCAGCCCTGAGCTCCGGGGCTCTGCTGCCTGCGGCCGGCCTGGCGTGTTTCACCCAACTGTGCGCTGGACGCCGCAGCAGCCGCCTCCCGTTGTGGGGGCTCTGCAGACCCAGAGTGGGCTGTGTGCACAGACCACACGCCAGATGTGTGGGATCGAAAACCTTTGGCCTGGCCGTCTCTGGTTTCCATTTCTAAATTAGGCAAGGGTACTTCTTGTGATCTGTTGCCCCTCTGATCGCCAGGGAGAACCACTTTCCTGTCATTCTCTGGAGAATAAGCCACGAATGCCACAAATGAGGCAAGTCAGGCAGCATATGCCGGTGACTGATTTTTCATGTTAGGATCTGTATTTATGCCTAGAAATGAGCAGATTGCCTCCACTGGAAGTAAAGCAGATGAAGGCCATCCAAATGGGAAAGAATGTGCCTTTAGGAAGAAGGCCCAAGGCACCATGTAAGACCCATCTGCCTAGTGACTCGCCTCTTGGAGGTTCTCTGCGTTTCCCTCCTGAGGAATTCCAAGTGCACATTTAGTCTAATGTGTATATTTTTACTAATGTCCCTGGACCTTAATCATGTTAAATAAGCCTCATAAATTTCTTTGTAATCCAGGAAAACTGCTCCCTTTTCGAAAGAAAAAGGAGAGAATGTGCCTGGAGAAGGGGAAGGAGCCAAGGAATGAGGCAGGGAGAGCTGCACAGCACCCAGGGCTTCAGGGAATAAAACATAATTCGCGAGCAAGGGGATTTAGTAGTCACATTAGCCCATTTAACTTCACCCCTCATAGGAGTCAGAAGAGTAGGACTCCAGCTGGGAGAGGCTGAAACCGGGTTCTCAGCCTCAGCTGCATAGGCTGAACAGTGTGTGTGCAATGAAAAATGTGCTAATGTGTTTTAGAAATTCTTGTCACCCCCCCATTTCGACTCCGTAAGCTTTGATGGTAAGAGAGAAAGGAAATGATGGGGTGTTTGTAGGTACATGCAAAGGTAATTTGTCACGGGGCAGTGCAGTGCCCCTGTAAAAACCCCTAGAGTGAAAGGTTCGATGTGGTCAGGATCTACACTGAAACGTGTGGCCACCACAGCCGCTGCTTCACTGAGGTGACAGTGCAATTTCGGTCCTCATGCTGAACCCCCATTTGGAGGAGTTCTTAAGGGTGTCCGTCTGTGCACTGAGGCTGGCAGCAAAAAGATGCCACTGCCTACTGAGTGGCCCTCCACGTGGGCCTGTGCGCTCTGCAGGGTCTTCAGTCACCGTGAGCCCCAGGCAGCTCCGTGGTGGTGACCTCAAAGCCAGAGGATTTGCAGTCCTGGCCCTTCATCCCCACCCCCCTCCTGGTCTTCTGGAGCGTCTCAAGTAGCTGATTTTCTCTGTTCTGAGATCCAAGCTGGAGAGAGTAGCTCTCTCGGAGCTCCTTTCCAGAAGGGAGGAATAAAAAAAAAAAAATCCCACACCGGCATTTGTCCAACTTCATGGTGGTTTTCTATTGAATTGTCTGTAGCTGAGCATCATGGCCCTGGTTGTCTGTATGCATTATTTTTTACTATCCATGTGATACCTCGAAGGATTTCAAAGCTTCTTGCCTTTACTTATCAATTATTCATTTTATGTGGAGCTGGTTAGAATGTAGGCAATTTTCTTTCATGAGAGTGAGCTTGTAATTTGATGTACTGTAAAAGTCGTAGACGGTATTAAATGGTTTTTAAGAGGCATTTGGTATTACTACCATCGTAATACACGTGGAGATGGGCTTTAAGTCTAAATAATGATAACAGGCTATAACTGTACACTCAGTCATATCTTTTCAAGGGATTTCGGAGAATAATGTTTGGAGTGCCTTAGATGTAATAGACATGTTAAATGATAATTGACTAAAATACAAATTCTCTTTTTACTTCTGTTTTAAGACTTCAGTTAATTTTTAAAAATTAGTGCTAATGTCTGAAATTGGGTGGGCTGAACCCTTTCTCGCCTCGCTGATACTAGTGGCATCTGAGCTACTATTTTAGGAAGAACAGACTATGTCTTAATCCCTATAAAGGAGCTTTAGAGACTAGCTAGGGTTCTAGACCAAAGACTTCCTAATTCTTTTGACTATATGGGGACCCTCTTTTAAACTTCAAAAAAACTTCCAGAACCCCTATATGATGCTAGTTAAACTGTTACTACCTTATTTTGAAAACTGAGATATAATTGACATTATAACATTATATTATTTTAAGGTGTACAACATAATTTTACATATGTACAACTTCAAAGTGATCATAATAAGTCTCGTTAACATCCATCATCATATGTAGTCACAAAATGCTTTTCTGTGTCTGATGAGAACTCTCAAGATCTGCAATCTTAGCAACTTCCAAATATGTAATACAGCGTCACTAAGTCAGTGACCGTGAACTTCACATCACCCTGACTTACTCATTTTATAACAGGAAGTTTGTATCTTTTGATCCCCTTCACCCATTTTGCCCCCCACCTCCCAGCCTCTGGTAACCACCAGTCCATTTTCTGTATCTGTGAGCTTGGTTGTGTGTTTTTTTTTTGATTCCATAAAAAATGTTTCTGATTTTTTTTTTATGATTCCATGTAAATGAGATCAATATGGTTATTAGTATCTTTTGAGTGAGAAAATCCATGATGGCCAAAGCCTCCTTGATGTCAGCAGTGCAGTGCACGCTGCTGAATTTTATCAAACAGCCTTGGTGTGTGCCTGCGTATGTGCCTGACATGACGTTTACCCAGGTGTGACCCATACTCGGACCCCGTGCAGAACCTCTGTACTGCCTGGAGTTCTGTGCCCACGGGGTCTAAGCCTGCTCACTTTTTTTAATGGGAAAAGGAAGGTACAAAAAATGTTAAGTGACTTCTATAGTGCCACCCAGGCAGGGTGACATCTCCTAAATCTAGGGTCAGTGTCCTTCTCTACCTTGCTCTGTCTCACCTGTGGGGCATGGAGACTCAGTTTTTCCAAAGTTGCTTAGATCCCAAGTGGACCACCTGTTCTCTTCATCTCATCGTGCACTTGAGCAAACCGAGGCTTAGATGAAGGGGTCCCCAGGGTCCCAAGGCTAGGCCCAGATGGCCTGCACCTAGGATTAGTTAGCACATCATTTGCATATGACTTCCTTTAACATTTTTCCGAGGGGGAGATTGGGAATTGGTTGAATTTGAGTTTACCCGTAACATACTCAACGTAATGCTCTGTATTAATTCTGTTAACTTGGGAAGTCATTAGTCCTGATTGACACTTTGTGGAAAGGAGGGAAACGCAGAAAACTTGTAATAATGGGAAGATGGGAGCTTTTTCCGGGCTCTGTCTCTGGAGAGGCATTTTTAAAGGGTGTTTTTGTTCTTCCAGCATTAGGATCAAAACTTCACGGAACAATTTGATTATAATGTAGTGTTAATATGGAAAATGAAAATTCCCCCCTGCCAAAGAAACTTTTTATCTCCTTTTCCTGAAAAATCCAAAAGATAGTTTGATGTCATTAACATTAAGTGGCAGGAAGGAGTCGGCGTTATTATAGTGACATGAATGATAAATAAAAAAACCGGGAAGCAGCAGATTTATTTAATTTGCCATAAAAAACTCAGAAGAGTTTTATTTTTATGTGAAGGGTTTGCCTACCGCAGGATGAAGTATTCAGCTGACAGCTTCAGTTCCTTTCTCCTTGTGTAAGTCATGAGAGGGAAGCATGTTTAATTGAAATGCCAATTTTATGAAATGGAGGTAAAATACTAGTGGTAATTCAGATACCACTCTTTCCTTGGGTTTTTGTAAGCAATTCTGATGACATAGTTCACAGACCAGAGAGAGTGAGTAGAATCAGCCTGTTCTATCCTTAGAGCCATTGCAAAATGTCACATTTTTAGCAGTACTCGCTAGCTACAGTCATCAAGCCTGCATGCATCCTGCCGTGCTGTTTCTTGTTGGCCAGGAGACTTGGGAGTAAGCACACCTGTTGCCTGGCTTCCACTTCCACCCCAGTTGATCAAGAAACCAGAATTGCTCTGCCTGCTGTATCACACTTCTTCACCCTGGAGGGGACTGTGGTCGTGATGTCCCAAGAGTGGGCACCTCATTCAGGATGCACTGGGCACAAATGGGAATGTGGGTCTTTTTCAGAATCAGTTCATATTTCTCCTGGAAGACTATAAAAGGATTATAATGTTGGGAAGGAAAATGCTGGAATTAATTAGGCAAGAGTCAGCATGGCACCTTTAAGCAGTCTTGCCAGTGTGTGGCAGTGCTTCTTTAAATTTTAAATTTAAGCTAATCCTTTATTTTTCAGGTTTAGCCTACTATTAAGCATGCATAGATGTCATTTTAGCGATTGCTTAGCCATTTACCTTACCCCCTTGAACACTGACATTTTCCTCACTGCCACGCATGTGATATATTTCTTTTGGCATCCAAAAGGTTAGTCTTGAGAAACTAATTTATCAAGAAGTTAGGAGGCTGATCCTTCTTAAGCTGTGACTTCCTCAAAACTTGTAAGAGCTTCTTAGTAATTAAGATCAAATTTGTTCTTTCAGCCAGTTGAAATTGAATGCCCTCTGGTTTTGTTAGGCAGATCTGTGGCTCTGATGACTTGCTGTTATTTTTTGCAGAATACCAACTTATTTCACTTACAGCTTCGCATCATTCCTACCCTGCCTGGCCATCTGGGAGCTGTGGCCAGTGGAGGATCTAATTAGGGTCTTCTGTACAAAAGAACTAATGAAATCAAGGGAACACTTTTGAGCAGGTTTACAGGAAAGATATAAAGTAGATTATTTTTATGAATTGG